CTGATAAAAATCAATTTATTATGTCTAAATTAAAAATAAAAAATTTTAAAATTTTAAATTAATTTATTCAAATAAAATATTTAAAAAATGATAATAATTAAAATTAAAATAATTCAAATTCGAAACAACAATCAATTAGACAATCCTGAAAGTGCACACATGTAGATTATTGATAACAAGATGGTGGGTATATAAATAAAATTATTAAAATTTATATATTATTAAAAAATATTATTCTAATGTTATAAATAAATATATGAAAATTATTTTATACATTGTAAAAGGTATAGTTATTTTAATTTTAATTGTGTGTAATTTTGATCTTTATATTTTTTCAACCCAAATTAAGAAAAAAAAATATGTTTTTTTTTTCTTTTCCATAAATCAAAGAGATTAAAGCATTTTAAACCTTTTACTCAAAAGTTACTGATCAAAATATCTAATTTCTTCTAAAATCAAAATTTTCCTTCTCAATTTTAATGCCACATCCTATAAAATTCTATCGAAAGATAAGGATTCTGTTTTTCAAAAATAATTATAAATAAAATAATGGGTACTATTTTATTTTAATTGGCTTAAAATTAGTTTATTTAGTTAAGTTTGATTAAAATAAATATAAGGTAGTTTTAAAGAAATTAAAATAAAAATTAAGGTGAGTTGGATTTAATTTAAGTGACAAACTTGGACTTTATAGAAGCTCATCTCTAACACTTAATTTGTCAGATCCTAAGAAGACAGATCATAAAGATTAGAGCGTGAGTTTTCTTTCTTTTCCTGACTCTTGAGAAAGTGTGCAAAGGAGTTGCCTCAAGAGTGAAAGGAGACAAAGTTTGGATTAGTGAGCCACACCCTTACACGAAGGAGAATCACATTTTCAAGGTAAGGAGAGTGAAAAAATTATCTTACTTGTGTAAGTATAGGACAAGGACTGTGCTCAAGCTGAGCATGGCTGTGCTAAGCCAAACACAATCGTGCTAAGAGTAGTTCAAATTGTGCTCTTTTTCTGATGCGAAAAAGTGAGTTTAAAAACATGACTGTGCTTAGAAAGTGAACAGAGATGTGTAAAACTAAGTATACAATCGTGCTATTGGGAGGTAGCATGTCCATTCTTGACCACATTTTGGCCTAGTATATGCTTAAATATAACCAGTTATGCTATTTAGTAATTAGGATGTTGAAGTTTTCCTTTAAGATATTGTTTTCCTTAGAATTGAAAGGAGTGAATATGGAAAGGATGAGTTGGTTATGAATAGTTAATTCGAGAATTAGAGAACAATTTTAAGAGATTAAATAATGTTTTAAGAGCTTCAGAATGTGAGAACAATATGTGTGTATGATGTGTATTCTTATATGTCTAAGTTGTTGCTAAGTCATGTTGAGTCTAAGCCTATGACTTAGCTACTTGTTAAGTTTAAGTGAAAACACTTAATTATTCATTATGTCCAAGGACGGAGCCAAGGGGGGACCTACGGGTGCCACGGCCCCCCCAACAATTTTAATTTTTTTTATATACATATATATTACTATATGGCACCCCAGTATATATACATATATATTTTAATTTTCATTTATTATAAATTATATATTATTTATTCTCGGCCCCCCAGTATTGAAATCCTGGCTCCGTCCCTGATTATGTCTAACTGTCTAAGTATATAGGTCTTCCCATATTTAATTATTTCATAAATTTAAATTCAAGATATATGGTATGGATATATCTATTTTATGTAAAAAAATATGTTTTTTTCTAGTCTCTAATTTAATTAATATTCTATTTTTCTATATTAATTATATTCTATTTCGATTAATATAAAATATAAAATATAATTTTTGAAATATTTTATTTTAAAATTTGAAATATCAACAATGTTTCTTATAATAACTCATTAATTAATATATAATAATATAGAATATAAAATAATATAATATATATATATATATATAATAAAAAATATAAATTTCTATATTATATTTTTTAATTTTTATAAAGTCCCTGTTTGTGAAAATATTATACCTAACAATTTGATAAGTAAGTTTATTTGTCAAATGCCAAAACGAGTAGTACATATATAGCTTTGAGTCACCTACGTCAATTAATTCTCAACATGAGTGATTAACAGCTGACAGCTATTCTAATACACAAAAAGGGTTCAAGAAGAAATATTAGGCAAGTCCGTGACAAAGGCTTACGCTTCTCTCTTACAAAAGTCTATTTTCTTTCTTCGTGTGAATATAATATAATTTCTCTCTTTAGACCTTTTAAACGATCTAAGGAGTAAGCCTACCAAACTTATCCACCAAAGCGATCAGATGACTCACAAAAACAAACATTCAACGATTTATCTTATTTGGAGCTCCCTCAGTTGCTCACTTAACATTAAAAATATTTTTTTAATGTTAAGAACTCAATTGTTATATAAGAAACTGATCGTACAGTTGACAATAATGTCAACAAATTTCAATGATATTATAAGACATAAAACTGATAAAAGTGATTTTATTAATTAGAAGAATGAGAGTTATAGACGACTTCAAGCCTGGGTTTACTTGCACTTGCAGTACGCCAATGTTAGTCAACAGGAGCTCAACCGTAAACTAATTAACTGTTGACCTCAAATATATTTTAGGCTGTTAAATCTTCCACGTCACTCTTATACATCTCACTCACAGTGATCAATTTCAATTTGAATTGGGAATTGGAAACCCCCTCGTCTCTTCCAACCTTTGAATTCTATTTTGTTTTCTTCCGGGAGTGACAACAAGTCTTTCGGAGAAAGTGAGGCGTAGTTTCAACGATGGACCCGCGAAAACACAGACATTAATTGATAGTACGTACAAAGCAAACATGTGGGCATGATCATTATTTGCTAAGAACTTAGAATAGAATGGCTTGTAAGCTGTAAAACTCCAGGAGCTAGCATGATGTTTGAGTTTGAGATGAGGGGAATGCGTGTGTTCCATATTCTTACGTCCGTTCTCACCATTTGTTGCTTCTTCTTAATCACTTTGCCACAGTCCCGCTGTCAAACCCATGATGCCGTTTGTAATGAGCAGCCATACAAGTGCGGAACTTTGTCCAACATCTCTTATCCTTTCTGGGGACAGAACCGATCGCGTCAATGTGGCTTCAGTGACCAATTCGAGCTCACATGCCACGATGATGATACTACAACATCAATTCGAATTGGGTCACAGAATTTCACAGTGAAGGAACTCAACACCAGCGCTGAAACCATGAGATTGGTGCGAAAGGACCTTGCCGATGATGTTTGTTCTCCGCAATTTGGGGACACATATGATGTGAACTCCTCCACTGTGTTCAGGTATTCCTCTTCAGTGTACAACATGACCATATTCTACAACTGCTCCTCCTCCGTAGATACCCCTACAGGTTTTGGAAACTTGACGTGCGGAGACGAAAAGGGTCTCTTTTCTAACGGTGCACAAGACGAGGTTTTGAAAAGATTCGCATGGCTTGAGAGGTGCGGGAGACATGTCCGTGTGCCGATAGACGCTCCTTATGATGATAAGGGTGGACGTCAATTTCTCCAGCAAGCGTTCGGTAGTGGCTTTCCGGTCAACTATACACTCCATACTTCTTTAACAAGTATGTTCTCTGCCTTCTCCAACTATCATTCTTATACATGCATCTTCATGTTCTCTACTATTTACATCCATTGCCGCATTATGGAGTGCAAAACCAAAAAAAAGTATGAGTGTTGATGGATATTCAAATAATCCATATTTACCTACTAAAAAAAAAACACGAACTTAATCTATATTTAAAATTAAATTAAAAAGGTGCTTACTTCTATTCTATTAAAAATAATAAGTTTTTTAAAATATTTTAAAAAATAATTAGAATAGAGTTCGTCTAATAATAAAAGTTGAAATAATATAATATATAAGATTTAATAAATAATCAAAAAGAAAACTTTATTTGAGCAGAATTTTAACCATGACAACTTTCTTTGCTAACATGTCATAAATATATAAAAAAAAATGTTTGATAATCATGTGATTAAGATTTGAATATATATATATATATATATATATATATATATATATATATCACTATAATTAAAATTGTCATATAGTGACACACACCTTATAATGACA